CCTCTTCCCAACTGCCCTGTCCCTTCCTTCCCCCTTCTCTGAAGCAGTTGAAAACAACAAGATTAATTAAAAAGGTACCACTGACACCCCCAACAGTTAATTCTCTGTCCCTGAAAGAGGCTTTCACGTTGAGCAGAGAATGTTTCATTGTTTAAGTATATAGTTCTCTGTACAGCCAAAAATGGGTATCAGCAAGTTCATGCGGTATTTACATCTTGAAAACTACGGGTAGGGAGACATAATGGGTGCTCTAAATCCTGACTAAGTGAAATCATTTCACTTTCAAGGTGGAAAATGGCAAAGCAGCCCCTCGTCCCCACTAACAGCACCCAGGGCCACCCCACAGGAGTCATTTGTGTCAAAACAGGGAGTGCAACCATTCTCCTCTTCTACAAAATGGCGCCCTGCTCCCCTCTTCTACAAAATGGAAGCCATGCATTGACTTCAGTGAGTAAAGACAGTAGAGTGCAGAGAAGGGATTAGGAAAAAGCCTCTTTGAGAAAGGGAGACAGAAGCTGAGCCTTTTTGTCCCTTCCCACCCTTCCCTTCTCTCCACCCGTGTCATCGTTGTGCAGCACAATGAACTGTCCCCCACAAAGACCCACAGCCTACAAGTCATTTGAGCCATTAGTAACTGACTTCATTTGGGCAGCTATCTCCCTTCCAGAATTCAGAGTGAAGCCCCAGCTCTACCAGGATGGCAGCTAATGATGGGCCGTTGGGGGAGTGAGGCTGAGGGTGCAGGCTTCACCGCGGGGTAAACACTTGGGGTCCCTCCCACCAGGTGAGGACAGCAGGAAATCACCATCTGTGAACCAGGAAGCTGCCCTTCTCAGCCTCTAGAACCAGGAAACACGACGCTCTGATCCAGAGCCTCTCATTCCCGAGGATGTGTGCTGAAGCAGCCTGAAAAAAATCCACCATTTGAAAGTCTCCAGTGCTGCGCCACCCACAGCCTGGAAGGTAGCCAAGCAAGAGCCCTGAGGCATAATGGAGCAAAGACAATTCGTGCTGTGTCACCAGCCCAAGAGATTGCATCAATAGCCACAGGAAAGGTGAGATGTGTGTGACATCAAATACCAGTGAGTCAAAATAAACGGGCATGGAGAGGCCAGGGCCTGGGCACACTTGCAGATATTAAATAGTGAGCTGTGTGCCGATCACATGTATGGTGTATAACATGTGAACACCATTATATGTTATAGACTGTGATAGACAATTTGCTCCAGGAAAGTTAGAATGAACTTGTGACTTTAAATGAGAATCATTATTCCACAATACTGTGAAATTCAGGAAATTATGTAATCACTTAATCACAATCAAAAAAAAAAAAAAAAGAACCTCGGGGAAGGTAGGGAGGGAAGGGATGGTAGGGGGAAAACAATGGAGGGGGTAACAATGTTCAAGAGGAAGTGTACTCATTACTTCACTCATGTAACTGTAACCCTCTGTATAGTCTCTTTACAATAAAATAAATTAATTAATTAATTAAGAAAATAAATAAATAGTGAGCTATGCACAACCTGATGTGGACCCTGATGACCCCTAAGAGCTTAGTCCCTGGGCAAGGCTCCTCGGCCACTGGGGAAGATGGGGCGTAGACCGTGAGCTCCCAGTGCTAAGAACATCTGGGTTTTTCTTCTAGCTTGAGTATTTACTGATGGGTGTGAAGGACTGCAGGTCTCCCCGTGAGTAAATGTCAGCAAAAGGACGGACGGTCCCACGCATGAGCACTGACTGAGGCCACTGTGTCTGGGGCCACGTCGCCGAACGGGTCAATGACCGGCCCACTCCACACACGGCCACCCTACGGATTTATGAATGGCTGTATGCACAGCCCCTGTGTGAAGCCCTCTTTTCTATCACCCCCTCACCCTGAACAAGCATGCTTTCCAAGGGGCTGTCTTGGCTTCTCATTTCCTGATATGAGGCTGGAGCGGGACCAGTCACATGACCCGGACAGGTAAAGCCCAGTAACGTCATTACATCTCCAAGGCTCAGCCTGGAAAAGCACGCAGCCCGCACCGGGAAGTCTGTGGCGCTCTTATCTCCAACTAACCACAAAAATAAGCCAGAAGTAGGAGTATTCGTGAAGTGGTAGAGCATCAGCCTCGAGCAAATATGCTCAAGTACAACACCCAGGCCCTCAGCTTAAGCTCTAAGGGAAACAAAAAAGAAAAGGAAGAAGAAAAAATGTTTATGATATGAAGATGCTGGCAGTGTGGAGACAGGAAAGGCTTGCGGGTGCCATTGTTCCTCTGCAGGGAACTGTCCAGAGCCCCCCAAAAGGAAGTCCTTTCCCAGGAAGAGGCCCGCAGCCCAACACCAGCCTCTTCCCCATCAGAGACCAGAGTCAGCTACAGTGTCTCCCATTCATGGGGTGAGGAACCTGCCTGAAGCCAGGGTTCCAGGTCACCCGATACCCAGCCTGATACCCTGAGAACCTCTGCTGGCAGGAAAGGCCACCTTGGGCCAGCCAGCCCACTGAGTGCCCGCCAGTCTGGGGCTCCCAGGGGGGCGCTGGAGCAAGCAGGACGCTGGTTGTCTTTGTTTTTCCTATTCAGGAGCAGCAATGAGAGCAGGGACTTCAATTCCGCAGCCCTCTCCTCACTCTGTCTCCACGCTGAGCCCAGCTACGTGTGCACTAGCTTTCTTGCAGCTGGGCCCTGCTGGAGGCTTAAACAGGGCCCAGGGCCCAGGGCTCTGTGCTTGGTGCCAGTGGAAATCACCACAAGGCCCCTATCTCCTCTCTCAGTTCTCTCTCTCTCTCTCATACACACAGACACACACACACACACACACACACACACACACACACACACACACACCTTGCTTTTCATGTAGGTAAAAATAAGCCTCCACAAAAGCAAATGCTTTAGAAATATGTCTTGCTCTGTGTGCTTGTACCATGACTATGCTAGGAGAGGAATCTGTGCAGTTCAAAGTCCCAGGCTCAGCTGTTCAATATTTTTTTATAGAAAACATAAAAAATAGTTGCATTGAGCAGAATACTATACTCAATTCTTATAAGTCTCAGAACATATACCATTAATGATGGACAGAAACATTTTATCAAATGGATAGGCATTAGTGCAAAAGCCCAGAAAGATTCATTTCTTAGCCAGGTATTGGTAACTCACACCTGCAATCTTGGCTACTCAGATGGCTGAGATCCAGAAGATCACTGAACAGAAAAGTTCACTGAGCCCCAGCCCCAAAATAACAAGCAAAAAGTCAGACTGGAGGTATGGTAAAAAGAGCAAGAGTGGAGTCCCGAGTTCAAAACTAGGTACTGGCCGACACCAAAACAAAAAAATCTTATGCCTAGGCCTAAGTTTGCCTGTCCTACCAAGGTCCTTTCAAATGCCAGGAATTCGTTACTTTCTAAGACTCAAACCAACCTGCCTTGAATTCTTACCAGATGACCTCGACTTACCATAGCACCATTGAGCACCAGTGATTCCTGCTTCCAAGACAAAGTGAGATGTGGCTGTGTGTGGTGCTTCACGCCTACAAAACCAGTTACTCAGAAGGACCATGGTTTGAGGCCAGTCTATGACAAAAGTTAGTGAGACCCATCTCAATCATTAATCTGGGCATGGCAGTTGACACCTGTGGTCTCACCTATCTGTGTGGAAGGATCACAGTCCGAGAGTGGCCAGGGGGAAAAAACCCACAATGCTCTATGCGGAAAATAATGGAAGCTGTGGCCTTTGTGGTAAGACGCTTGCCTGAGAAGTACAAGGCTCTGATTCAAACCCAATACTGCCAATAGCACACACACACACACACACACACACACACACACACACACACACACACACACACACACACACACACACACACACACACACACACACACACAGAGGGTGGCCTCTTCTTTGTGGGCGCTCAGCCTTGCTGCTGGCAGTTCTGAGTCTCTGTGACTTAGTTTCTCTGTTCACACCATATCTCACCAGCAGTGATGTCATGGTTTCCAGTACTTATAAAATATGATGGTTCCACATTCATGTAACGAAGGCACGCTATTAACAGTCCCAGGGTGTGGACTCCAGGGCCCCCGTCTGAATCCTAAGCTCAGAGCTCCCTGCAGTGGTGATTCCGACTTAGCCAGAGAATGCCTCCTTGGCTAGCTCTTCTCACATCCCCTGGCCTCGCCTGGGGCCTTGCTGACCTCACACGCTGCTCCACAGGCTGTGGGCCGGGGACTGTTCGTATGGCTTTTGGTAGAAAAGTACATCACACAGTGCTTAGAGGAAGATACCCCCTCCTTGTGTTGAGGTGTCACGTTCTTCACCCCTCCAGTCTATTAGGACAATGTACTATAACGTACATTAATACACATTTCTGATGGACCTGTCATGAAATGTTTCTGGCTGCTGGTGACCGTTATGCATTTGAGGACGCACTGACACATTCTACCTGGTGGCTCTATTTTCTGGAGCATCCTCCCCCCCACATACAAAAAAGCCAGGATAGCATGATTGTGAGAGATATCAGAGCCTAAGTTATGAAAGTCACCTGCACGGAGAGGAAGAGGACCCCGGCGGCAGTAGAGTGGACTACAGGCATACAAATGCATCTCTTCACAAAGTCAAACGGGGGTGGACATCTGCTTCACTGGCGGGCCATAAGCTGACACCCTCCCTCCGGTACAAACACAAGACAGCATTGTGTCCCAGACAATAAAACCTCAGAGATGACGCCTGACATATGTGGGCAGAGCTCCCCTCCCACCCGGCTCTCGCGACTGGGAAACAGAATTGCTCCCTCCATCTTCAAAGAGAGTTCTCGGTACATATACTGTGGTTTTTACAACTTCTCCCTCAGCACAAAGCCCTGGAGAACACATTTCTCAGCTCTGCTCAACGTTCCCGCACATTTGCTGAGACAACCTTTTCTTTGGGTGGGAGAGGGGTGGAGGGGTAACTAACAGCCATTTTGTCTTCTCCAAGGATGACAAAGCAGAGGTCAGGGAGAAGAAGGCCGGTTCTCCTTACCTGGAGCCATTCACCTGACTGGGGTTGCATTCCATCTTAATGGTGACCCTGGCTGGGGGCTGTGGCAGCCAGTCCTGCTGGGGGACACGTGGGCTCATCTTGGCGGTCTGGCCATAATCGCTGCAGGAGGATGCTGTCATCTCGGCCTTAGCCAGGTGCGGCGTTCCGTAGGCACACTCAAATAATGACTGGTCCTCACTCACAACGGATAATGCTTCCTGGATGCCAAAAGATACACAGAGATTCAGGATGCGTCCACAGAGACTCATGTGTCCCAAAGATGCTGATCTCAGAGTCCTTCCCGATGGGAACACAATTTAACTACTTTGTATAACTATCTACAACTTTCCAGAAGAAAGCAATGCCCTATTTTTTTCCCTCCACCCTGTCACGCTGGAACAGCCCAGCCTACAACCCTTGGACACAGGTTTCACGCTTCCTAGGCTTGACTCTGGCTGGGCACATAATACCTACTTTAATCTCTACTCAAGGAAGCCGGATTTCAAAGGCCTCAGAAGACAGCCTGTTACAAGTGTCATTGCTTGACTAATGTAATCTGTAATTCAGGCAGACAGGGTAAAGTATGGTCTTGAAGATTAAAAAAAAAAAAAAAAGGCAAAGGAACCAGTTGCTGATAGCTCACACCTGTAATCTTAGATACTCAGGAGGCTGAGATCTGAGGATCACTGTTCGAAGCCAGACCAGGCAGCCAATTTCATGAGACTGTTGAATCTCCTGCTAAGCACCAAAAATGCTGGAAGTGAAGCTGTGGCTCAAGTGGTACAGCACTAGCTTCAAGGAAAAAAGTTCAGAGACAGTGCCCCATCCCTGAATTTAAGCCTCAGGACCAGCCAACACACACATACACACACACACACACACACACACACACACACACACACACACACACACACACACACACACGTTAAGGTTAGCACATTCATATGAAAACCCTGCCATACCCCAGGACATACTGAGGAAGAGGAGTGAGGGAACACAGAATGCTGAAGGACAAATACAATGACATAGATTTTCCCACTCTTCGTTATAAGCTGAAACTAAGTTTGAAATGGTACTTCCATGATGCTGAACATCTGGATGATAAATTGATACATGAACCCACTGCCCAAAAAAAGCCGTGAATTTTCCAGATGTCCCCAAATACCAAGATGTTTAAAACATCCCCATCAGTGAAGAGCTCTTTTTTTCCCTTCTCTCCTTTTTTTTCTCTTGACTTTCTATTAATAGTTTCACTCTTAGACATGATTTTGTGAGAAGAAATAGAAATTTGTCATGGTTGGATCGTTGTTCTGTGGTTTGAAATCAAACGAGTGGTTAGCCTATGGCTATGTTTATATTTTACAACTAGAGCAACAAAGGCAAATCTGATTTGGAAATTTCAGCGACTCAGATGATGTATGGTGCGACATTCCATGGAGCAAGGGCACAACCTACTTTGGGGTTTCAAGAGCAGAAAACACAAGAATAAAAAAGCAACCTGTGGGAGCTTGTGTTTGTTTTGATCCTCTGGCCCCTGGGTGTCACCATCAACTCATGAGAAGCAAATTGTGGTTGGACGGCAGATAATCTCTTTTGGAAAATGGAAGTTTGGGGGCAGTGGAGGATGGGAGGGAAAGTCCCTGGGATTTAATCATTGAGAGTCTCATCTCTCAGAACCCAGAAACACTGCACTCAATCTAACTTTGCATGAAGTGGCCATGCCCAACCAGGGAGTGAGAAGAAGGGTGAAAGCCAAGGCAGAGCATTGCCATTAGCCCCTTCTCCTCCTCTACCCGCCAAGGCCCTCTCACATTCTCTGGCCTGGGGAAATACGTTTTGATGAGCACCTCCTTCTTCTGTGAATAAGCAGGCGAGAGCCGGGTCAGTAGAGCAGGCCGGCAGCAGCAGTGTCTGAGATGGAAGCCTCCTTCCTTCCTTCCCTCCTTCTCCTCTCCAATTAGCCATCAAAAAGTCAGAAGTGGAGCTGTGGCTCGAGTGGTAGAGCAGTAAAAAACGCCTAAGGGATAATACCTAGGCCCCGAATTCAAGCCTCAGCACCAGCACAAAAGCAGATAAAAATGAAGAATCTGTGCTGAGCAGATCCCCTTCCCACAGCCAAGGAGACATCGAGTTACACTCAGGCCAGCCACTGCCCCACCCCGCCCCCACCCTCCGTTAGATCTGAACTCAAGTGGGGCCTGGCAGGAAATCACACACTATGTAATGTTGTCTTTGGCTTCCCGGTGACAAGAAATAGGAATAAATGTGTGATTTGTGTCAGAAATTGGCACAAACAAGTGATGTATAAGAGTCAGGCAAATTTTTAAATTACAAATTAAAAAGAAAAGAGCTCCAACAGCCACAGAAAAGCAATACCTTGAAACGATTCATATATGCCCAAGATAAAGTAGGATATTCTTGCAAACAAAGCCACTGGCTGAATAAATAAAAGTAGAAGATGATTGCAAGAATTTTTTTTACAGAACTAAAATATTCAACTAAAATGAGGCCGAAGTATGTGTTTGCTGAGGAAGAATTGGTTGGAATGAGATCTCACATCTGGCAAAGCATTATTTCAACACATGGTTTTTGAAAGAAAGAAACCAAAGTTAATTGAGATTGATGTAGGGAAAGGGGAAAAAAATGTTACAAATGCTATAGATAAGAAGGGCACATGTCTTTTCCTTTCTCTAACCATTCTTCTCAAATATATTATAGCATAAAAATGAGAAAGGTGATAGAACTCAGAATATCAAAAGCAACTATTCTCTGGCTTTGATTCCTAAGAGGAGAAAGAAAAGTGGAGAGGCTTCAGGGCAAACACTTCAAAATGGGAGGAATACAGTCTGTACTGTGAACAGTGGAGTGGAAAACCAGGCCCAAATACTCAACAATGGCACCCAACACAGCTCTCCAGCTCTCTGTTTCTCTCTGTCTCTCTCTTCTTCTCTGTGTCTCTGTCTCTTTCTGTCTGTTCCTCTCTCTCTCTCTCTCTCTCTCTCTCACACACACACACACACACACACACACACACACACACACACACACACAGTGTTATCTATGGGAGAGATAAAAGGAAAGCAGAGAACTCCAGAGACAAACAAGTAAAGGGCAGATGCTGTACCTTTGGCCTTGGAGGGCTTCTCAGCCTTGACTCAGTACCCTTGTTCCACTCCCTGGTCATTTTACCTTCCTCCCTCTTGACCTGTCTGCCTACCTGCCCAGGTGTCTGCAATTGCCTTTAGTTAACATAGACAGATTCTTCTTTCTGAACTTTCCAGGCAACTGCCAAGCTTAGGAACTCTTTGCTTGCTTTATAAACATGGAATTCAAAAACAGTCAAAACCTGGCAAAAAAGTGGCATAATAATTTAATATGCCCATGTCTCTATTACTATAAAAAGACTTGAAGTTTATATTAGTGTGTGCCAGTATGGGGGCGTTTCTTTTTTTTTTTTTCCTTTTTCTGTAGCTCCAGCAAAGTTGGGTAGTGTAATGATGGGGGAGGTCCCCAACTCTGTGTTTATGATCTTGTGAGAAACACATCCATTCTGAGCACACTGCCCCAAACAAAAGGCACTGCTGAATTAATACTGCCGTTTATGACTTCATCTGAGAACGTCAGTCGGGACTGACCGTTCCTCCATCCATTCCTGGTGACAGGACAACCATTGACCAATAGCCCCTGAAAGGCCAAAGACTCCAAGATGACAGTTCGCCCAAGGGGATCAAAACCAACCTCATCTGCTTTCAACATACTCATCCTGGCTGTAACAAAGCATCCAAAAATAACTCGATTAAAAAAAAAACACCCAAACAGAAGAATAAGAAGAGTCCAACACACTTCGTATGCACACTGACATTTTCAGTGAGAGATGCAGCAAACCCAGGCCTTCCTGTGACAGATTAATTGGAATGTTTTGTTAGGCTCTTTCTTGGATTTCAAACGAAGCTAGAAAATCAGGACCTCTGCCCAAATTTGTTTCTAATTTGTGAGTCCTAAGGTCCAGATGAATACTGAATTGTTAACACAGAGAATCCATCACTGGATTTCTTGGATCTCTGGGAGGGTGAGTGTTGAAAAATCCCACAGGATCTGCTGCTCTCCTTCTCACTATAGCAAGTGAGCCATTCTCAGAGAAATGGTTCCCCCCGCCCCGCCCACTTTCCCAAAGCTAGGAAGATGACCAGAGGTAGGACCCTCCCTTCCTACTCCGCCCTGGCCCAGAAGCCTGTCCTAACAGTTGGAGAGCTCTACCTCCAGAAGCCAGAGCCATCCTGCACCGGTGGCCTGCCTGTCTTGTGTGAGTTGTCATCCTGTTTCAACCAGCTTGAAATTCTCCCTTACATTTCCCTCCTGCATCACCAAGCTGACTTTGGCGCACTAACTCCTTACACTGGTATCAAAGACTTCCATCTTTTAGCCCCTTTCAGGAAGCCAAGTTGCTTTGCGTGGAGTTCAGCCCTGAGCCCTACTTGAGTGGCTGGAAGGCCCTGTCATGTGTGCCCCCTCGAGGGCGCACACCCTAGGAGACTGGACATTGTCCTTTCTTCCTGGTGGCTGACAAAATGATGGTATGGCCTGGCACCTGCGCATCTCAGGTTTGTGTAATTCTCTCAATTGTCCCATAAGGTCATTTGTCATAGATAGAAAGCAGGCTGATCCCCCAAGGTATAACCCCTGCTTTCACTGTATTTGATGTCGGTGTAATTTGTGGAGGGGAAGGGAAAAAACAAATCATTTAAATAGGGATACAGGTGGACCCATTGCAACAATGAGATGTTCAAATCGTTATGTAGAAAATGAACTTTACAACTTTGGGGGGGGAGTGTTGGGTGGGGAGAGTGGGGGGGGGGGAAGGGATGGGAAGGGGAAACAAAGGAGGAAGCTACAATGCTTGATAAGAAATGTACTCATTATCTTGCCCATGTATTGTAACCCCTCTATACAGTATTTTCACAATAAAAAAAAAAAAGAAAACAGGCTGAGAACGGGGAAGTCGTGTCTGGGGAGGGGGAGACAGAAGCAGGGCTTATGTCTGAATGGAACTGTGCTCCCTGGGACTAGCCACAGCCACCATGTGGGGCTCATGAGAAACAGGAAGGCAGACAGAGGAGCTCACTGGGAAGAGCTCTTTGGCACTCTGTCTTTCATTAGATCAGAAATGGAACCATCTAGAAGGAAGAGGCAGGTAGAGAGAAGAGTTAGCAGAAGGGGT